AACTACGGCTGGTTCGACCCTTCCAGCAAGTCCCCCACCCCCATCGATTCGAGCGGTCACGGCTCCCACGTTACTGGTACCGCTGTTGGTCAAAACGGCATCGGCGTAGCTCCGGGTGCCACGTGGATTGCTTGCCGCGGGTGCACCACGAGCGGTTGCCCTGAAGCGGCGCTCACTGGATGTGCCCAATGGATGTTGTGCCCCACTGACGTGACGGGCAAAAACCCCAAGTGCGAGTTGGCGCCTGACGTGATCAACAACAGCTGGGGTGGCGGGTCTGGCTCCAACTGGTACCAAGCCAACGTGGACGCGTGGCGCGCTGCTGGCATCATCCCCGTGTTTGCCAACGGCAATGCCGGCCCCAACTGCGGCACCGCCAACTCCCCTGGGGATTACAAGAATGTCATTGGCGTGGGCGCCGTGGGCGTCGACGACAAGCTGGCCAGCTTCAGCAGTCGCGGACCCACTAAAGACGGCCGCGTCAAGCCCGACGTGTCGGCCCCTGGGAACCAGGTGCGTTCGGCGTGGCACACTGGCAACAACGCCTACAAGACCATCTCGGGCACGTCCATGGCGTCTCCCCACGTCACGGGTGCCGTCGCGCTCTACTTGTCTGCCAACAAGGCGGCCACGTACGACGACGTGTACAAGGCGTTCACGACCACCGTGGACACTGCGACGCTGACCCCGAACAACACAAACTGTGGTGGGGTGTCGGATGCTACCTACCCCAACAACAACTACGGGTTTGGGCGCATCAACGTCGCTCGTGCGACTTCTGGTGGCATCGCTCCCCCATCCCCCAGTAGCACCCCTGTCCCGACGTCCACCTCTTCTGCACCGTCGACGGCTGCCCCTTCCTCAGCCGCCCCCATCACGCCGACTCCAACCACCTTGGACCCTGTCCCCACCTCTGCTCCTACCAATGTCCCTGTGACAAGCACCGTGGCCCCTGTTCCGACTTCCGCTCCTACCACTGCCCCAGCACCAACCCCATGCAATGGCTGCACGGCGTGTTATGCCACGTTGATCGACTACTGTTTCCCGCCTCGCTACACCCAAGCGCAATGCACCACATTCACGCACTTCAATGCCATCTGGTGCGGCAAGAAGTAGACGTCGTTGTGGTCATTGTAGTCAAAAAGTAACGCGCTAATGTCTTTACATGTGCATTTGATTCACTGTTTGATCCCAGAGGTTGTTGTCTACTACACATAGTTCATGACACAGCTCGTTCATGCATCGGATTTGCTCATTAAGACCCCCTCAAACCAAAGTGGAGTTTTGGGTAGAACTTGTGCTTTCGGCTCCAATATCCTAACACTTGAAATGAGTAAATCATTACCGACCAAACGAGCAATTTTATGCACATACTACTGTAGTAGAAATGAACTTCTAGTGACAAATAGTATGCACGTTATGAAGGTTGTGGTTATGGGGGGAAACAACAAGGGAAACAAGGAATATTGTCCAAGAATCAGTTTGGAATTCGCTTGCGATAAGGGCCACCTCAAGGATGTAGCAAAAGGAAGTGTTCACTCAAAGCAATGGCCATTAATTCCCACACAATATCGTTTTGTAGGCACAGTAGGTGGCACAGCACGGATTCCATCTGGGGGAAAGCAGTAATACAGCGTTGTGGAGCAGCATCCATTGCATCCGGTGCAGCTGCAACTTGCCTTTGGAACTGGTGAGGTGGTCGGTGGGGAGGGAGTTGGCAAGGGGGTCACCAGTTCTGTTGGTACGGATTGGGTCGCCACCAACGGACTGGTGGTCGTCCAAGTCCCTGTGAGGAAAATTACCACTCCAAGGATTGATCGTGCGACATAAATACGTCCAAAGCCATAGTTGTTGTTCCAGTACGTGATATCTGGCACCCCGCCACCATTTTTTCTGTCCGGCGTCAGTGGTGCCGTATCCGCAAACGGTGCAAACCCTGTGTACACGTCGTCATAGTTGTCCCCTTTGTTCGCATTCAAGTAGAGGGCTATGGCACCCGTGACATGGGGTGTCCATGGATATGCCGGACACGGTGATGTACGGCATGGTGCTCTCATTCCACGCCGACCGAATCTTGTATTCAGGGATGGATACATCGGTCTTGATGCGGCCCTCGAGGCTAAAGACAGCGAGAGAGTCGTCTATCGCCACCACCCCCACCGCGATCACGTTTTTGTAGTCATCGGGCGAGGTGACACTGGCGCATGCAGGCCCGTTGTTGCCGTTCGCAGCCACGGGAATGATCTCGGCATATTGCCACGGGTCGAAGCTGTCGTGGAATCACGTTTTTGGGTTGGCACAATTGCCTCTAAAGCTGTCTTTGATTACGATATCGGGGACCATGTCGCACTGGGGGTGGTTCCTATCATGTCCGTGGGACAGAGCATCCACTGAGCACATGCCGTCTACGCCACTTCCTTCGGGGCACTTTCTGACGGTGCATCCGCGGCACGCAATCCACGTGGCACCGGGACCAACGCCGATGCTGCCTTGGCCGACCATCGTGCCCATGGTGTGCTGCCGTGGCCGCTCGAGTCGTCGGGTACCGAGTTCTTGTGCTCGGGTCAAACCAGCCGTACGCCGTGCGATAGTTGGGCTCGAGGGCTTCGTGTTTGTAGATGACCCCCGTGTCGATGCTTCCAACCACCCCCCCTGCCCCGTGGCTCCACGCCTATGCGGTACACCCCCCATTCAGGGCGCCTTGCATCAAGCTGCGGTTACCCTCGGCAGTGATTTGAATTTCAGGATGGTTCCGCGCTCGCTGAATCGCAGGGACTTTCAAGTCAACGGGGTCTGGATGCGGTGGACTCGATCAAAAGTGGTGAGCTTGTCGAGGAGATCGCTCGTGGCGCCGAACATATGGAGGTTGTTGGCGATATGAAATCGTTCGACGCGCACATCCAGCGCTTCGGGATGTTCTTGTAAGAACTCGATGACCTGTTGCTGGTTTGTTTGCATGTGTTGAATCAAATGCGATCGGATGTGTGGAATGCGAGACGCGCGGTCTGGGAAGCTGCCCAGGTCTACCGCGGCAGCATCCAAAGCTCGACTGGTACCGTCAGTGAATTATTCAACCACAACATCCACCGTGTTCTGTGTCGACAACGTACGGTGTATTGTGGGGGCGATCTTTGCACCCCTCAACGCCGCATGGCGAGGAATGACCAGACAATGAAGGGGTAACAGAAATGTAGGTCGAGTTGCAAAGGGTCTACGAACTACTAGTACAGTACTACGAATATATGAGATGCGAAGCGGACTGATTTAGATACTCGCATCATTTAGCCGATTCATCACGTTGTTCTGTCCAAACAATAATGGGCTACGGTACCATATTTGAGGTGAGCAAATTCTCGGATGGAGGTGATGTATGTTGTCACGAAATGTTGGCGACATTCACCTAAGGCGATTTTGACATGGCATGTCGTATTAATGCTAGACGCTTCAAACCATCAAATATGGAGGAATGCGTCTGTAGCGTAGTAGTACTGTACGGAACTTGTCGTAAAACAAAGCTCATCTCGGTGGTTCGAATATTGCTGCTGCGCAACTTTTTGAGGCATTGTTGTTGTGACTTGCGATCTACAGCTACAAACTTACATTTCCCCATATAGCGAGCGCTACTGATTGTGTGGTAAGGTTGGCCGCTGAACGTGAGAATCAGCCTTGGGCTGACTGTCTAGATGCAACGCAGCCTTGGGCTGCGTTGCATCATGGAATGTGCTCCAGATAGCAACTCCACTGCCAAGTTATTGCAACTCAGCGATCACAAGAGTAATCTTGTTCTCGTTCCTAAAGTAACTTACGTGAACAAAAAAATGCCACAGGTAATTGAAATGCGCTGATTTCTCGCCGGCAGCGGAAAATCGAAATAATCAATATCGCCCTTCACTAATACCAGCAGGTTACACTGTACCAACGGCCAATGATAGCCCGCCAATATGCAGTACTTGTTGACAAAATGAAAGGATAGATGGTCCTCCAGAGTTACGAATTCGGAACATTGAGATTGATAGTATTAAGTGGGTCACAGCCGTTGAGGTCCTCCCGTCAGTCCTCCGGTCTAGATGACATATCCTTTGGTTGTAAATGATAGTTCCACCGACTTGGATGTCCAAGCAGGTTGCAAATTGCATTAATAGGATTCAACCTACTAGAATTATCACTACTACACACACAACAATCAATGACAGCATTCGGCAGCCCATTTCGTTTAGGCACCGCACCAAATGGACTTGAAGTCTACAAAGGTAGCGCATTGCGCCTTGCTGTAGCCCACAGGGAAGCAATACCCAATCGACGTCGAGTAGCACGACTTGCATCCGTTGCAGCTGCTGGCGGCGGTGGTCGTCACGGGTTTTCGTCTTGGTCGTGGTCGGCGCAGGGGATTGGTTGTCACGGGAGCACCGTTGTAGTGATAGGGGCTTCGGAGGTCACAGGCGCGGCAGACGAAGTAACGGAGCTTCGGTGGTGACAGGGGAAGCGGGGGTGGTCACGGGTGGTAACGGGGACAACTGTTGTCACAGGGGCGGCCGATGTGGTGGTGGGGGACGGCTTGGCGCCCACCGCGGTCGCAATGTTGATGCGGCCGAATCCGTAGTTGTTGTTGGGGTAGGTGGCATCCTTGACGCTCCCGCAGTTCTTGTTGTCCGGGGTCAACGTCGTGGTGTCCACGGTGGTCGTGAAGGCGTTGTACACGTCGGCGTAATTCGGGCCCTTGGTGGAGGGCGATGGCACCCGTGACGTAGGGGGTGGCCATGGACGTGCCCGAGATGGTCTTGTATGCTGAGGCGCCCGTGTTCCACGACGACCGCACCTGGTAGCCGGGGGCCGACACGTCGGGCTTGACGCGCTTGTCGGGGGTAGGTCCGCGGCTGCTGAAGCTGGTCAGCTTGTCGTCTGCCCCCACGGCTCCGACCCCGATGACGTTGGGATAGTCGCCAGGAGAGCCCACGGTGGCGCAATTGGGACCGGCGTTACCATTGGCGAAGACGGGCACGATGCCCACCTTCTGCCATGCGTCCACTTGCGCTTGGTACCATTTGTTGCCGGCGACGTTACCACCCCAGCTGTTGTTGATCACGTGGGGAGCCAACTCGCACTTGGGATTGTTGCCTTGGACGTCGGTGGGGCAGAGCATCCATTGGGCACAGGCGGTGAGGGCAGCTTCAGGGCACGAGCTAGTGGTGCACCCTCGGCATGAGATCCACGTGGCGCCGGGAGCTACACCGACCCCGCCAGCGCCGACGCTCGACCCGATGGTGTGGGTGCCGTGGCCATTCGTGTCGACGGGCAGCACGCTCTTGTCGGTGGGGTCGAACCAGCCGTAGGTGGAGCGCCAGTTGCCCTTCAACGCGTCGTGGGTGTAGAGGGCGCCTGTGTCGATGCTGCCGACCACAATATCTTCGCCGCGGTTGCCACTCGCCCAGACAGTGCTGGCGCCGATGAGGTTCACGCCCCATTCGTTGGTGGCTTGCATGCCAGTCGAGTTGTTTGAGTCGGAGGCCAAGACATCCGAACTGAACTTGTCAAACTTTAGCACGGGCAAATCGCCACGACGGGGGACCGGATGTGAGTTACGTCGGTGAATTTCGCGAGTTGCTCCAACAGCGGAAGGCTAGCGCCAACAATATGCAGCGTGTTGTCAATGTAGTAGCGCTCCGTGCGCACCGTGAACGCTTCGGGTTGCGACGACAAGAACTCGGCCACCTTATGCTGGTTTGCCTGCATGTGGTCCACCAAGCGCGAGCGAACGTGGGCGATCCGGGGTGCACGTTCAGTGAAGGCCTCCAGTTCAATGTCTGCGACTTCGAGGGCGGGGATGTTGCCGCTGAACTCTACGACCACGTCTACAAGTTTGTTGGACTTCAAGTGGCGGTGCACGCTGGGGGCGATCTTGGCGCTGGCCAGCGTAGCAAGGGCGGAGATGAGGACGAAGTTGACCATGTTGTTGAGCAAAGCAAAATGTAGAATGAATGAGACAGATGGGGGGGTTATTTCAAGGTCCATCTCGAATCTTGAAGCTAAGAAAACTATCAGACCTCATGATGTTCAAGGTCTGGGTAGGATTAGGGTAACCGTGAAGGCTTGGGAAACACGTGGTTGGGAGGAAATGACAACATAAATGGAGGATAACGAAGAGTATTCGTTGAGTAACGTAAGCTCGAGTCATTTCGTGTGCATGAATTACTGTACTCGTAGTTCAAATCCCATCCTAACACTATCGGTTTTGAATCCTGCTGATAACGCCACACTAGTACAGTAGTACTTCGTTATTGATACTCTATAGAAAGGCGACGACCTGTTGATTCGGGCAAACGTGGTAAGGTGGATGTACAGTATCAAAATGTACAACCAATCCAACTATGTACAGTACAGTACCGGTCAGCAGCTTGGAACTGAACCAGAAAGATCAAACCAGCGAATTCGATACCACAGAAGGATTTACATCATCACCCTCACCTGCCTCACCTTTTCTATTGCAAGATCGTTGAAAGCATCCACTATTTCCCGTTGTGGCACCAAGTCAGGGGGGGGCGAGGGATGCTGCAGGTATACATTATACAAGCCCGTACAATTAGAAGGCGTTCCCTAACGGTACAGTTATGTAACGTTTTGGGATACGCCACATCCTTCGTAGGTTTGGGGTGAAGTAATGTTTCGCGGGGGGGTACACTACTTGTTCGCTAGGCGTGGGGGGTGAAAGGGGGTGTTGCAGTATTCAACAAATCCACGAAGGATACAAAGCAAACATACGCATAGCTCACATACAACCACATATCAGTACAAACTCAAGTGTAGTATTCCTGTGGTTGGTGCATACGTACCGGTACTGTAGCCTAGTCACTAAATTGACCGCCCATACATCATGTAGCACGGGGCGACGACGACACGTTCGCTTGTTGTATAGCGCTGTCCAAGT